ACAAAGCCTGGCAAAGCACGGCTGTCTGCTGTTTTTTGTAAGAAAAAACGACACGACGATTTGTGAGTCAAGCTTTCGTGGTGTTTCTGGATGTTGATGCTTTGCAGGCTGGAAACTTTGTGCACATCATACTTCCCCCAGGGGTTCTGCACGCCACATGCAAAGCACGCCTTGCAGCCTACGCCAAATGGCTTCGTCCTCGTGTCCAGCCAGGAACCCTTCGAACCATCCGAAGGGTCCAGCAAGTATTTTGTTTGCCAGCCGTGGCCCAGCCTCTGCCACTTCAAACTTGCCTTTAGAAGAGGCATTGGCAGGCTCAGGAGAGCTTGGCCGTAGCAGCCACCTTGGCCGAAACAGCTGATTTGGCCGAAACAGCCAAATTTCTTGTCAGCTTCCCCTGACTGACAGGCCGCCTTGAGTTTCAGTTTGAACGCCCGAAGTTTCAAAATAAGTTTCAGGCTTTCGCAAATATTTTCTATAAGTCTGCCCGAGGAAAGAGGTAGTTCCGACCGGGTGCAGCAAATCAGTTACAGTGCAACAGGACAGCACCACCAAGACAAACTACTTCTATGGCAACTCTAAAAACCAACACGCTGTTCCACATGTGTAATATAGGAAAACCTATGAGTCAGATTTTATATATTTATGAATACTTAGCTTAAATTTAAAGCCCTTTCAGCAAACAATTAAATTAGAACCCTCAGTATGTAAACCGCTCGCAAGGATGATTCCAGGCAGAGTGTCGCAGTTGATTGTCATTGCGTGATTGCATTTCAATTAGCGATGGTGGCACTGCGAAAACATCAGATCCATCAGTCATGCGGAATAAACCAAAAACCATGAAATGCTTCATACAATAATGTTTGGTGCGCAGGAACTATTGAAGATGACAGCTCATTTCATCCTACTTGATAAGTTTAGTTTCAACACATACTGAGTCAGTTCAAGCAAGTCAATTCTGTCTCATGTGCCCGAGGTTTCAAAATATCTTCGTCCATGGTCAGGAGATATTTTTAGAAGCATTTTTGGTGAGCCCAAAAATCCATCAAAAAAAACCAAAATACCGCTAAGACAAAGTAAGATGAAGGAGCTGTGCCTTCGCAAGTCCTCTGAGGAACGCCGAGAAAAGATGCTGGAGGCACGGCGCAAGGAGTGGGCTAACTGGACCGGGTTCAATGCGACGACTGTTTTGGAGCCGTCCTCTGCGCAAGAGTTCCTCCGCAGCAACCCGGGCACCAAGGTCGTTCCCACAAGGTGGGTCGACACCCTGAAGTCCCAACCGTGGGAACCAGACCGTCACAAGGCCAGACTGGTTGTGCGAGGAGACCTGGAGGATGACGAGAACCTCCGGACGGACTCACCGACGTGCAGCCAGGCCATGCTGAACTTCACCTTGGCCCTGGCTGCGGGACGACGCTGGCCCGTCAAGGGCGGAGACATCACCGCGGCCTTTCTGCAAGGAGAAGGAATTACGCGACAATTGGTGCTCAGCCTGCCCAGTGATGGGGTCGAGGGCGTGGAACCTGGATCCCTCATGATCGCCCACAAGCCGGTCTATGGAACCAAGGACGCGCCACGTGGTTTCTGGAAGAAGCTTAACAAGACCGTCCTCAAGCACGGGCTGAAGGCCGTGCCCTTTGAGCCCGGGGCCTACTGCCTGGTTGTGGAAGGAGTGCTCAAGGGCATGATGGTTTCCCATGTTGATGACTTATTGTGGACGGGGGAACCCGCCATGCAAGAAGCTATGGAGGCCATTCAAGGGGAACTGCGCTTTGGGTCGCTCGATGAGGGCGACTTCGGCTACTGTGGGAGGCAGATACGGCAGGACAAGCAAGGCATAAAGGTGACATGCCCTAGCACCGCTGCCAAGGTGAGGCCGATTTTCCTCACTGCCACCCGCAAGAAGCAACGAGACACCAAGGCAACCGATCTTGAGATCGGGCAGCTTCGCAGCGTGCTTGGGAGCCTGAATTGGGTTGCCCGAGTGTGCCGGCCGGATATCAGCTATCAGCTGTCATCGTTGCAGGCAATCCAGAAGGAGGCCCTTGTGGAGGACCTCGTTTCTGCGAACAAGCTCCTTCGCTACGTGCAGGACAGCCCCGAGGTCGGTGTGTTTTACAAGTTTGGCGGCGTGAACTTGGATGAGGCGGTGCTCTTGTCGATCACCGACGCCTCCTATGCCGCCGACTTCGACGTGTCCAAGAGTGGAAAGGCAATGGGGAACCGATCCCAGAGCGGCCGACTGCTTTGCCTCGCTGACAAGGACTTTGTCAAGAATGGAAGCGGGCACGTGTATCTATTGCAACATCATTCGAATGTTCTGCGAAGAGTGTGTCGGTCTACTCTCCAAGCAGAAACGCTCAGCATGGTGGCGGGACTTGAAGAAGCGGAGCACATGCGGACTGTGATGTTTGGCATGTTGCACTCGCTTGACAAGGGCTGGAGAACTGCTGCCATGGATTTCATCGATGTGCATATGTACACAGACTGCAGGAGCCTGGAAGCACACTTGCTTCAGGCCGGGCTGGGCTCCACCAACGACAAGCGGCTGGCTATCGACATGAGCGCCCTCAGGCAGATGGTGTGGAGAAAGCGAGGAGAAGAATACGGAGATCCACTTGGTGACGACAAGATCGACGACAACTGCACCACCCGAGTGGAGTGGATCGAGACAAGCTCCATGCCTGCCGACTCCCTTACCAAACGTATGAGGGACGACCAGCTTTTGAATATGATGGCCACCAGCGAGCTGCGAGTGGACAGAGACCGAGCCTCTAAGAAGGCAAAGGCTCTGAAGTAGCTACGTTCTGTAAAGAAAGGATGGGTGTGAAATCAGATCCGCTAACATGTA